TGATCCTTAAAGTATTTGGAAGCTAATGGTGAAAACCAATTTGAAAACGGAGTTGAAATCAATTCACAAACTCAATTTGAAGGAAAATCCACGTTCTTGAAGAAGCCTAAAATATTCGGATCCGAAACCCCGACTCGAAAATGAAATATCTCTTGAAAAACATCTTACCCATGCTTAGATAAGTTCAAATATGAAATTTCATCAAAAACGGAGATAAGATCGACCTTGAAATTCTCAATTTATCAAACTTTAACTTTATCGGGAAAGTCCAAATTGTACGCGGTTAATATGATGAAAATAATCGATGAATCAATAATTTTATGTTAAAATCAGTTTACCCATAACATAAGGATCGTAAATATACCTTTTTCATCAAAAAGGGAGTCCAAATCGATAAAACCCCAATTTTTTCCAAGAGATTTACGGATAGGAAAAAAAACCAGATAAAGAAATTATGAGAAAATGTCGAATTGAAGATTGAATACTAACCCTCATATTAATTCAAGAAGAAACCACAAGAATCACTCCATTCCGATCTCTAGAGATCCCGATATGCTCAAAATACCAAATGAACACAATCTGAGATTTTTATAACAGTACATGGCTGTTATGCACCAGAAAAACAGCAGTTAATATTTCACTAAAAAGGCCGTAATTTCCTCATACGATAGTGAAATGACCCGATTCTTTTTTGTAAATGTCTTAAATAATGATACGGACCTGCTCGTTCAATCGGAGCTCAATTTCATGCTTGTTTGCCCAGTCAAATATCATTTCTACTCGGTAAACAATTATTTGTTATTTGCGATAAAAGTCCAATCTCGGGTTAGCGAAAATGCACCAAAATTTGCAGATAAGTCCTATAATTCATGCTCAAAATTTCAGAACCTTCGGAATAATTTTCCGACCTTTAAAACTAATAATGAACCCTTTAGTTGCCACAATTTGTTGAAATAGTGTCAAAGCATCCAAGAAGCTTAAAAGCTCACCCAAAACTCATTTGACACTTTCCGAACACAAACCAAATATGCTACTAGCTTGAAAATGACATTTCGGACTCAATGAAATTGTCGGAATTTGAATTCGAGGTCTCCTTGACCCGGTATCCGATAAGGTGTCAAGAAACTAACTTTAGGCTCAAAAACTCGAAACGCACTCGGGGCCTCTAAAAATTCAACCAAGACTCATTCTAGACTTAGAATCACCCCCTGAATCCAACGGTGCCCTCGGAATTCCATTTCGAGCACCGGAACCTCGTTTGTTGACCAAAGTCAACTCTTGATCAAAATTTCATAATTTTTGCAACTTAGGACCTCAAATCTTCGTTTTAACTCCAAATTCGACTCCGTAAATTCTCATAGACCCGTTTCAACATTCTAAAATTGCTGGAATCGACGGAAATCCGATTCGAGTCTCGAAACTCCAAATGACTCGAAATAGCACTTTTAACCAAACTTTAACTCTTAAAAACTCAACTTTCCAAAAACTCAACTTTTCATCAATTTTCCTCCAAACCAACTTCGAAAATACAACAATTAGGACTCGGGGCAACTATCGAGAGGGGTAAAACGGTCATTTTATGAAAATTTCCAAAAATGACCTTTAGGGTCATTACAAAACATTATATAGATTATGGAAGATTATATACAAAGATCCAAACACCAACCAAATATTCTAATAACATATGTTGAACTTTTACATGAATTAACCTAAAAAATATTCACCAACAAAATAATGGGAATAAAATGAAAAAGGCAATGACAATAAAAATTTTAGGTGAAAAATCCTTTTGAATAAGGATAAAAACAAAGATCAAGAGAAGCAATTGATATCAGTGTAGTAATAAATTTTTATTTGATTTAGTTATAAGTACAATACTCAACATTATTAATTCACACTCAAAAGAAATATCTCTCTTTTGATTTTATCATCTAATTAAAACATCACTGATACTCTATTTATTTTTATATACTATTTTCTTATAATCTATGGTATATCTCACTCTGATATCTAATATTTTTCTCTCTATGTTGGCGTAGAGATTCCTATTTATAAGCAGTGTGCCAAAAAGGGCAAGCCTTAGCCAAAAAGCCAAGGTTGTCCCAAGTTGGCTGCTCACTGCCCCAAAGACCACGGGCACCATCATGACCAGTGGTGCCCTAGACGGTCCGTATTCTTGGGCGTGGAGATAACTTGGTCTCAAGGGAGGCAAGGCAACTTTGCCTAGTGGCTGCCTCATCTTCACGAGCTTCACCACGACTCGTGATGTGCACCACGGATCGTGGGAGCCCCCGCGAAGATGCCTTAGGCCCTTGAGGGTTTGACATGGTGGAGAGGCTCACTGGTCACGGGCACCACCACGAGCCGTGGTGCCCCTCACGACCCGTTTAGTTGGGCCTGGTCCCTGACGGGCTGCCTCAAGTTGGGGGGTTTTTAGTAATTTTGTTTTAATGTTTTATTATGTGGGGTTGATTTTAAATGACTTATTTGATAAATATATAAGGTTTTAGGTCTTTTTATCAAGTCATTCACTCATTATTTCCCCAAATCAAATCCCAAAGTTCTCTCTCTATATATTTCTCTCTAACTCAAGGAAGAAGAAGAGTAAGCGGGAGCTAGGGTTTTGGATTCAAGGCTTTCTTCATCAAATTTCTTGGGAAATCTTAGAAAAGGTATGGAGATCCTTTATCCTTGATTATTCTTTCTTTCAAGAAGCCCAATCAAAAGGTTTTCAAGGTTTTTCAAATACACAAAACCCTATTTCGAATTCTAAGCATGGGTTCTTCCATTAAATGATTTTTAATGATGATTTATGTTATTATTGATGTTTATTGATGGTTTTAAGAAAGAAATCTTCATGAACCCATGTGTTCTCAAATTCTCTAAATTTGGCCTAAAGTGGGTCTATTGATTTTGAGTAATTGAAGAAGGATTATTGAGTGGTTTGATGTGGGCTGTTCTTATATGCTCTTAGCTATGTTGAATTGTTGGAAATTGTTATTAAATTGTATAATGTGAGGTAGTAGCCTTGAATGGTCATAAATTAGAATTTAGCCTTTATGTTGGTTATTGGATATTGTTTAGCTTAGTTTGTATAGTTGAATGTTGTTATTATCATTGTTATTGTATTATTAATTGTTGGAATATGAGGACGATGAAGATAGCTATGGAAAGAGGTAAAGTTGACCTAATTTGATGAATATAGTATAATTGGCATGGAATTGAGTATTGTGGGTGGCCTTTGAAAGGTGGTAAGATGGCTTGATCTCTTAATATTGCTATAATTGTTTCTTAGGTTGGATCCACCTTTGGTGGAAGTGTTGCTTGTTGCTCTATAATTATGATCAACCTTTGGGCACCACAAAATTAAAAAACATTTTGATACATTTGACATAACTTTAATTTAGGACTACAAAATTAAATTTTTTCTTTATTTTCTTAAATTTTGTGCCAACTTAAATTAGATCATTTTAAAAAAAAACGGATAGAGTAATTTAATACTATAAAATAAGGATCCTAATGATTAGGACTTGTAACTAAAATCATATTTTAGTAATTATTAAAGAGACTTTAGTATAGAGGGTTACATAGGTGTGATATTTCTCTTTAATAATTAAGCATTGGTCCTCTTGTTCTTCTTATAAATAAATAAATATATATATATATATATATATATATATATACATAGACCTAAGTATCTCAAAGAAATTAAAGTATCAAAAATATGGCATTGCCTAATGGTGATATTGGAGACGAAACTAGGGAAGTTCTGGCTGCTCAGGCACACATATGGAACCATACATTCAACTTCATCAGTACCATGTCACTCAAATGTGCAATTCAGCTTGGTATTCCAGATATCATCCATAGCCGTGGTCGACCCATAACCCTCTCTAATTTGGTAAATCCAAAGGTCATGATTGTATTTATCGTCATTGATCTATTCCACAGTGAATAATTTTCTGACCCAGTAGGTTGAATAGAAATTAGAGAACTACCTGGAGTATCACAAGCTTGGAGATAAAGAGGATGGTGAGCATCAATCACCACTGCTCCTCCTTGCACTATGTTGGTAGGTATCTCTGAGATTGATTCAGGCGTCATGGATAAACAAATGAGAACTCGAAATCACACATGATCTGAACTGCTATATGTACACTGTAACAATCCTCCAACTGCACTGAAAAGCAGTGAGATCTTCAGTGGAAATCCTTGAGCTCTGATACCATGAAGAATAAACTAGAATCAATTATTGAGAGGAAAAAATATTCAATTACTCAAATAATATTTGCCAAAAATATTTAGAATTCTATGATCAAACGTTAGCTAAGTATCAGATATTTGGGAGAAGAATATGGAGAGAGAATTAGAAATTTCTTTTCATTTTCGGAAAGGTAGAAGATGTGCTCTCAATAATTCACTAAAATATAGTAAGATGATAATTAGTACTAGTTATTAATTTTTCTCAAAAAGAAAATTAAAACACCTTTTTTTTTACTATTTAAATACAATAAATACAAGATAAAATAAATAAATATTACGCTTTTTGTTTAAAAAAAGACCTACTTTCCTTTTAGTTTTTTTCAAAAGGAATGATCTCTAACTTTTTTTGGCAATACTTTAATTTCAATGTTTCATGTGACATGTTTAAGGCCACAAAATTAAAAAAATATTTTGATGCATTTGACATAACTTTAATTTAGGACCACAAAATTAATTTTTTTTCTTTATTTTCTTAAAGTTTGTGCCAACTTAAATTAGATCATTTTTTAAAAAAACGGATAGAGTAATTTAATACTATAAAATAATCGTAATGATTAGGACTTGTAACTAAAATCATATTTTAGTAATTATTAAAGAGACTTTAGTATAGAGGGTTACATAGGTGTGATATTTCTCTTTAATAATTAAGCATTGGTCCTCTTGTTCTTCTTATAAATATATATATATACACACACACATAGACCTAAGTATCTCAAAGAAATTAAAGTATCAAAAATATGGCATTGCCTAATGGTGATATTGGAGACGAAACTAGGGAAGTTCTGGCTGCTCAGGCACACATATGGAACCATACATTCAACTTCATCAGTACCATGTCACTCAAATGTGCAATTCAGCTTGGTATTCCAGATATCATCCATAGCCGTGGTCGAGCCATGACCCTCTCTGATTTGGTAAATCCAAAGGTCATGATTGTATTTATCGTCTCATGCGTATGCTAATTCATGTGGGCTTCTTTATTGAAGATGAAAAAGAGGGTTATTTACTTACTCCGTCTTCACGTCTTCTCTTTAAAGATGAGACTAACAATTTGAGCATGATCCCTTTTATTCAAATGATCCTTGATCCAGTTATGATGGATCCATGGCACGATCTCAGCCAGTGGATCCAGTATGGGGGCGATGATCAGCCTTCTCCATTTGCCACCACTCACGATCTCAGCGAGTGATGCATATATATATATTTTGCTACTAATAAAAATCAGTAATCTAGTGAACGTTCCTCTCGTTCCCGTTCTTGTTCTTCGTACGATGTATGTATTAATAAAAGAACTGCATGTCATATAATCATTTTCTACTATTTCCATCTGAAATATATAGTCTACTTATGTTAGGATCATAATTGTTATTAAAATCTCTCCTGATCTCTTGCTTTTAATTTTATCTTTTAAAGATAATTTTTCAACAAATAAAATTCACTGCAACTAATGTTCCATTTCATGAGAATCTGATGAAAAATTTATGGACAAAATCAACAGTATACCGTAGACCTTAGGATCGGTTAAATGGATCAAATTATACATCCACTAGAAAAGGTACATTCCGATGAATAATATGGATATACATATCATATAATCATATACCCATTAATTTGTATGCTTTTTATTTTCATGACTACTTATTTTCTAGGAGTCTAAGCTTATTTTGACGTTTAGCTTATATCGTTTTTACCATTTAATTACGCGGCATGTCCCTCTTATTAGTAAAAAAAGTCAGAATATTTTGACGATAGTAGTACCAGAGTGCATAACTCCTCCAAGGTTTTCAGAACAAAAGGGAAACTGAATTTACTCAAAGACTGTTTCTCCTCTGTGTGTAGGAAACAGAGGAGAACAAAATTTTAACATCTTTACACAAATTGATTCCTTCTATGCACGTGGTTAACAACAGCCACATGAATCAAGTCCAACATATACGAGCTCTTATACTATTAGAATTAAAGATTTTTCAGGTGTCAAAATTGAGCCCAATTATAGGTAATTCGTTCAATTTGTCCATAATTTTAAGGGTTGGGCTCAAGATAAGGCAAACTACATAAATCTCACTAGTTTAGGTCTTAATTACTAAGATTTTCTATAGTTTTAAATAGAACAACTTTCACATATAGCAAACACAAAATTCATATTTGTATGCTATAGCAAAGTTTGCATAATTGCGCTTCATAGCAAACATATATATGTATAATTCGCTATACATATAAAAAAAACAGTTGTATAATCTGTTTTGGTATACATATACAAAAAGATCAATTGTATAAAGTGAGAGAGGGGAGTGAGCGAGCGAGATCTGGGAGAGGGGAGAGAGGGGAACGAAAAAATATGTATATATACAATTTTCACGCATTTTATACATTTATGTTTTTGTATAAAGTTAGAGAGGCGAGTGAGAGAGCGAGATCTGGGAGAGTGGCGAGCGAGATCTGGGAGAGGGGAGAGAGGGGAACGAAAATATATGTATATATACAATTTTCTCTCGCTTTATACAAACACAAACGCATTTTATACAATTTGCCTTTAATTGTATAAAGTGAGAGAGGCAAGTGAGAGAGCGAGATCTGGGAGAGTGGCAAGCGAGATCTGGGAGAGGGGAGAGAGGGGAACGAAAATATAATGTATATATACAATTTTCTCTCGCTTTATACAAACACAAACGCACTTTATGCACTTGCGTTTGTATAAAAAATGAGAGAGGCAAGGAAGAGAACGAGAGTGGCGAGCGAGATTCACCAGGAGAGAGGTGAAATAGCAACAGTTTGCTATGAGGTACAATTAAATCAAACTATATTTATACCATTTAATTTAAATTAATAGTTTGCTATTATATACAATTTTCCCTTTTAAATATTACTTCATCTACCATATTTCATGCTTATGATACACACGTTGGAATCCATGAGATACATGTATCTGCCGAATTTTAAAACTGGGATACATATTTTATTTATTTAAATTAATTGGTTGTAACTGATTTCCTTAATTAGAGAAGTAATTGAGGATTTTCAGAATACATGGACAATTAATTTTGAAAATTTAAATTAATAAAATTCCTTAATATAAGGCGGAAATCAAGGAGTGTATCTATGTTTAATTAATTTCATTTTGTTATTCTTGGAAATAATAAATTCATTAATATTATTAATAAAAGACAAAAACATGTATATTTTGGTCATGTAATTTGATTTATTTTATTTTATTATTAAATAATAAATTCATTAATTTGATGTATCTATTATCAATATATGATGTATCCAACAATCTAAACACTTAGATACATGAGTATCATACAAGTACATTCATATATATCATAGAAGTATCTAGTATTAATTTCGTTTATTTGTTATAAGTATCTGGTATTAATTTCATGTATCTATTTATATGATCTAATATTAATTTCATGTATCTACTTATACGATCTAATTTTAATTTCATGTATCTTTTATATATTCTAGTATTAATTTGATGTATCAAGTATCAATTTCATACATTATATTCAAAACATGTATCTCGGATACATATTAAGCATATACATATAATTATGTGTATCTAAATATGTAATGTAACTGAACATGAATTTAGGAACAAATCATGACGGTAGATCAGTATCTATCTTATCATCAATCCAAAAAAGTAAAATATTTCAAAATCTTCCTTTTTTTAGCATCTGAATAATCTTAACTCAGATACACGAACTCTTAACTAGATACATGTATATCTAATGTGTATCCAACATTGTTGCACTTGATGTGTACTTAATGGTGTATTTGTTCTGTTAATTAAAACTTGATGTAATTCTTACATCTTGATTTGGATCTTTCCTATGCTTAGATCTATTCTCGGCTTAAATAATGACGGATGAAAAGTCAGTCCATGTAATGAAAGATGGGTACAAGAACTTGTACTGAATGGCATATCTTAGCTTTCGATAATTTGCCACTTCCATCACAGAATTATTCATGTTTTGTGTGTAATATAGGGTCTTGTAGTTGTAATACAGAAATAAAAATTATACTGATCATCTTGTGTCCTCTTTCTAAGACCAATTTCTCCAATGACTTCTCAAGCCTTTAATGTGTATTACCTTTAACAAGAATCATCCGGTTTAAGGAATGATCAGCCATTAAAGTGTTTGAGAAATAACAAAATCAAAAAATATAAAACCTAATTTGAAAAACTTTTTAAAATTGAACTTTAGAATATTATGAACTTTAACTCCAATACAAAATCAAGATACATGAGAATAAATAAACCTATTTGTATAATATTGATTTGAACATGCAAACATGTATTGAGAGAATGAAGGAAGCAAGAGAGAGAAGATAAAAGGAAGAAAGAGGGCTAGTGGACGTGGGTAGGGGAGAACGATAGATGTAGTAGGAAATATTTTGACTTATTAATGGACCATTAATTAAGAAGTTTAAATTTAAGATAATTATTTAATATCATATTTAAGGGATTTGTGTATATTTTTAAAAATATGTGGTATAAATATTAAAAGTGATAGTATGTGTAATTATTTTAAACTAGAGGTAAATATAGTATATATGATACTAATGTATGTGTAGTTAGGTAGTTTTTCCTTTTTTCTTTTGTTTTGGGCTGGGTCAGAGGAAAAGATGGGCTGGATCGGGAAGTATTGCAAAATAAAAGGCCCAAAATGGTTAAAGGGTGAGGTATCGCATTACGAATTTAGCCGATGAATTAGGAATGTAGTCAAATTGAATTCATTAGTAAATTCGGCTGGTGATTAAATAAGATGAATTAATATAAATTAATTAAGGAGCTTCTTACTCTTAACGAAATAAAATAATTAACTTAATTATAAACTAAATAATTTAAAATATAAACTATTATATAATTAAACTAATTAACCAAATATTTAACAAAATCTTTTGAGAAGGTTTTCGAATATTAATAAAATTTAATAAATGTATACAAAATTTATAGACTATATAAATTAATTTAAAAACTATAAAAATGATAAAATTATTTGAAATGACTTGGAAAATATTTTAAATTTTATAAAGTCAATTATTTCAAATCGTTTGGAATTTAAGAAGCATGATGGTTAATTTATATTGTGGAGGTCCAAAATTGGGTGTCATTACTCCCTCCGTTTCATTTTATATGAGGTATTTTAACTTGACACAAACTTTAAGAAAAATAGAAAAAGACTCTACAATGTTCTGAAAATATCCTTATTAATAAGTCTAAATTGTTAAATAAAAAAAAATACTACATCTGACATTGAATAGAAAGTTTAAACTTGGGGAAGAAGATGACTTGAAGGGGTAGGGGTGCTCTTTCTTTTTTGGATAAAATGTACAATTGATGCACGTTTTGGAATTCCATGTTTATATGTTACACTCTGATGCAGGAGATGACGTCATTGGTGCAGAAAACACAAAAGTCTCAAAGGAAAAAAAGTAATTAGTTTTTGGTAGGGGACCAACGTAACGTACAATTCTCAAATGTGCGCCAACCACTAAAGATAAGTTCATGTTGGTAGGCTGTATGATGAAGCCCAGATTGGCCCTCTCGTTATTCTTATCTTATAACTATACATAGACGCACATTGATTATCATTATCAAAGAAATTGTTCCCTCCGTTTCATTTTATATGTGGTACTTTGACTTGACACAAAATTTAAGAAAAATGGAAAAAGACTCTAAAATGTTCTGAAAATACCCTTATTAATAAGTCTAAATTGTAAAATAAAAAAAAATACTACACCTGACATTGAATAGAAAAGTTTAAATTTGGAGAAGAAGATGACTTGAAGGGGTACGGGTGCTCTTTCTTATTTGGATAAAATGTTCAATTGATGCACGCTTTTGAAATTCCATGTTTATATGTTACACTCTGATGCAGGAGATGACGTCATAGGTGCAAAAAACACAAAAGTCTCTAAGGAAAAAAAGTGATTATTTTTTGGTGGGGGACCAACGTAACGTACAATTCTCAAATGTGCGCCAACCACTAAAGATAAGTTCATGTTGGTAGGTTGTACGATGAAGCCTGAATTGGTCCTCTCATTCTCCTTATCTTATAACTCATAGACGTACGTTGTTCATCATTATCACATAAATTACTCCCTTCGTTCCATTTTATATAAGGTACTTTGACTTGACACAAACTTTAAGAAAAATGAAAAAAGACTCTAAAATGTTCT